AGATAGAATGCTGCTCCTTGTGTTACATACAGTGTATTTTCCAAGTACACTTTCCAAATAAACTTTTACAACAAAAAGCAAGATGGTGACAATGTTAAACTTCCGGTTTCAAAATGCTCACCAGCTCATTGGTGACATGATGGTGGAGATGTCCATTTTTTTAATATATCCAGTTTATTATGTCCTGTTCCTAGGGGTATGATTTCGATTATTGCAACCATACCCAAATATGGTAACACTGGCCAAAAAGCACATCACATAATTGAAACTGCTTTGCCAAAATCCGCATCTTGTCTAAACACATTGGAAAATCATCCTTACAGTATGGCACTTTGCTGAAATGGTAGAGTGGAGATAAACAGAAAACTGAAACAGCTGAGATTGAGACAAACAGTGCTGCTGTTTTTATAGCCTATATCTCCACACAGCAAATGGTGCTGCTCGCCATATCTGCCCCCTACATTATTTACACCTCATTTTTATTAGGGCAGTCTTGACATGTGTGCCCAATGATCGATGGGAGATTTTTTTTTCTTTTTTGTGATAGTAGCCTGCAGGGTAGCCAAAGTGGGGCACAATCTTACAGTTTTTATTTATTTATTTATTATTTTTTAATGGAGGAAGTATAATAATGGAAGGGGGGATTTCTTTCATTGCCTTTTTTTTCTACTTAAACAGGAAAGAGTTATACATCAAAGATTTAAGCTGATTGTTTTTGGGTGAGTGTTTGATTTCAGAGAGTCGGAGACCAAATGTAAATATCCCCCCTCACTGTTGTAAATGGCTTAACCTAAGAGTCAACATGCATCCAATTATTTCTTAATTTTAATCACATAGTAACCAAATCCCCAACCGTTATTCATCCTTGGCTGCAGTATCTAATTTGCAGTAGGGGTAAGAGGTTACTTCAACAATTCACAGTCGGAATCAATTTATTTATATAAAGTAACCATCAGTGACACTCAAATAGAAGCACATCCACTGATGCATAATAAAACACAACTCAAGGACCATACAGCTCAACTTATGATGTGATATACACTTATCATTACACTCTCTTTGCTTACAGAACACTTTCTGCTGCCATCATGACTGACACATACTTACAGTAAAAGCCAGAAGTTCTCAGATGCTTGCCTTAATAATACATATTTATGTTAGTTGCTGTTAAAATGCTGTCCAAACTGATCTGACCTTGCCTCAGCTAGGGAACAAAAATAAATTATATATAACCTATACAGACTTCGCATGGAAAATAAGGGAGAATAATACATACTATGTAGCGCTGAAGATGCACTTTTCAAGCCGTTAAGCCAGGAGGACATCCACACTGGTGAAATGTAAAAGCCTGAAATCCACAGGAGATGCATTCCTGGATTTGTAAAGGGATTTTCTTTGAGGCAGATACCAGTGAATATTAATGTCCAGAGGAACTGCGGTTGTCAGGCTTTGTGTGGCTCAAAATGGTCACGCCAGCATGGAGAGAGGCTACACAGGTTGTATTTTTCAAATCAGGACCAAAAATAACCTTAAAATTAATCTTAAAATCACTCCCTGCCGTACCTGAGGTCAGATTTGCTTCATTGCATTGAACTGAAAATGTTCTTGGCAAAATCAGCTTTTAGTAAGGCTTTAGTAACATCAGGAAGGCAGGAGCAGTGAAGTTAAATTCAACTGCTGTAGATTTCCACATGTCCTTGTGTGACATCTAAATGCATTGTTTGCAGTTTACTCAACTTTAAAGGTTTTGTACTATAAGCACACAGTGTAAAGCAATACAATGCATGATAGTAACTTGTCCTTGCTACAAGTGGTGGAAAATTGAATAAAATACTATTATGTATACTTTTTACTATTTAATATCCCCACTCTACTACATTGAACCGAGAAATACTGTACTATATATTGCATTGGAAAGCTCTAACACAGCTAGAAAAAAAATGAATTACTGCTTACATATTGTGTAATACACTAATATATTCTACACATAATCACATAAAACTCACAATCGCTGTTTTCCTGCTTTACCTGTATCCTGGGTTTGGTAGGCATGTCAAAAAATGACTGGAGGATCTGGGTAGATACACAGCATGTTAATATAATGATGAGCCAGAGGTGTGCTCATTGATTGCAGAGGAGCTGAAAGGGCAGGAGGTAAAGAGCTTCATCAGCCACACACACAAACACAAACCGAGACAAGGCCAACATGGAGAACTCAGAAGACAGGAGCAGTTCATCTGTACCTTTAGAAAGAAAGTATTGTCCATACGGTTAATTAATTTTTCTGTACTTTCTTCTCCAACCCGTTTCTAACATAAACTTGTGTCGCTGAGCAGGATTTGTGAGAATAATATTTAAGAAAATTCATATTAAACAAGTGTTTTTCAAATTAAATATGCATAATTGTTTAATACTAACAATAATCACAACTAAAGAAAACATAAAAAATTAAAAAAGTACAATAAGAAATGATGAAATTTCAAGCTGCAGACTACAAATTGACCACTTTTTTACATTTTGTTAATTTTAACATTCATTCAGCATTGTTGCTTTTTATAACCCATGAATTTCATTTTGTTAATACTTTTAAAAAAGATACAATTTGAAAATGTTCGCCATAAACCATTTGAGGTGTTTTAGTATTCAAAGTTGACTCCGCTAAGCTGCTGTGAAATGCAGTTAAATTATCTGCTAACCTGTGTGTGACTAAGATGGTTTCTTCATCTTTATATACAGCACGAGCAAAGTGATGAAAGTAAAGACTTACTGCTGGATCCCTGAATGTGACTCTTGCACCTCTGTTATTTCAATCACATGTATTATGTTCTTTCTCAATCACTTTTCAAGGAAGTCACAAGGTCACCCTGCAGCGAGGATGAACTCATGAATCCATTTTATTTTCAATCCCATCAGAATTTTCTTCTGATGATAACGACAGTGGTGGCTCTGAAACACAGCTTTCATTTTAGAGCACAGCCTTCTTGAAATGAGTGATAGTTTTTCTTTCATTCACTAAGATTATATTATTAATCACATCATTGCATGCATAAATGCACAGGTGAGGACAGATAAGGAATAGAAAATTGAATTGTGCTGGAAAACACCTTTAACTTGGAGATGCATGCACAAGTTAATTACAACAAGTATTATATACAGTACAAAATAAATATTAATAAATGGCTATGTATGTCTGAATAGAGCTATATTAGGAGACATGTAAACGTAGTTGTGTTTCCTTCACTTCAGAGCACATGTCCTGGAGACCTAAATTAAACCCAACCTAATTAATACAAGCCTAACCCAGATCTTCCACGCAGCCGACCTCAGTCGCCGTCGCTGCCTTGCGTGCGGCCCACCTACGGACCTGTTCCGGCGCAATCGCTAGCTTCTATATTCTTAACTATATTCTGGACTCTTGGCCTGTCGACCTTCAGGCCGACCCCCTGAACCTTTTCAGAACTGTTTCCTTGGTTCCTGAAACTTTGATGGACTTGTTTTGGTTTGTTTTGAGCTGTTTTCTGAGCACCAGTGTTCCCTGTTGGTGAACTCTGCATCCTTGTTTTTTGTTTAATGGGAAAGCATTTTAACAAACATTATTAACACATTTACATGCAGTGTTGGGGAGTAACGGAATGCATGTACCGCCGTTACGTATTTAAAATACAAAATATGAGGAACTGTATTCCGTTACAGTTACCGTTTAAAAAGTTACTTTGTTGAAATAAATGGATTATTATGTCGCGGGTCAGGACTGTTTGGGTTTTGTTTGTTCTGTTGTTCCAGGCGGCAGCGTTACGGTTGCCATGGTTACAGGGTGACACGCTCTCTCTGCGACTGTGTGTTTCCTGGGTGAGAGAGCGCCTTTTTGTTGTGTTGTTGTGCTAAGCTAATAGGCAGAGTGTTACAGGCATAGCCCTAAAGAATGTAGCCTCATAGGCAGTGTAGTCCGTGCTGCAGGGAGAGTGGACTGCCGTAATGTGTCTGTGAGCGCAAGGAGGGAGAAAAAGGAGAGTGGAAAAGTACGAGTTGTCACCGAGCAGAAACGGGAGCTGAAAGCATGTAAATATAATAATAATCACTGCAGCCAAGAAGAGCGCCTGACCAGCCCAGTTGTAAGTAAGCTATTAAGACTCGACTGTACACCGTGTTCGTGTTTTCCTCCGAAGCAATAAGTTCCGTTGGGGCAGCCTTTCAACGCCTCTCTCTGTCTAAAACGTGACCCAGACAACAAAGTAAAGCTATTTTTCGGCTACGAGCCCGACAAGGAACCCGATGTATTAACCAGAGGTCCCTTTACTACAGTTCAGAGCCGCGGACCTTCAGTAATCGTAATAAATCACACAGCAATAGTACATTCATGCAGTTGTAAAAAGCATGATAATGTATTAAGTAATCCAAAGTATTCAGAATACGTTATTGTCATTGAGTAACGTAACGGAATACGTTACAAAATACATTTTGGGGCATGTATTCTGTAATCTGTAGTGGAATACATTTTAAAAGTAACCTTCCCAACACTGTTTACACACTCTAATAAATAAAACATTGGTTCAAATAAAAAAAACATGTTAACGTTTTCCACTAGAATTTTTGAGTTAAGCCAACTTCTGGCAGAATAACATTAATTCAAAGCAATATTTTTGAGTATGGTGAAGTAGCTTTTTTGGCCACAATTAAAAACATTCTTAAGTAAAATTAACTTAATAATTTTCGACTAGAACACAAAAATTTAAGTTCATCCAACGTGAATTTTATGTATAGTGAAGTTACTTTTTGGCCACAAAAAAAAACACATTCTGAGTAACATGAACTTAATAATTGTCAACAAATACACAGGAATTTAAGTTGATCCAAGATTATATTTATGTATGGTGAAGTAACTTTTTGAACAAAATAAAACACATTTATAATTAAAATGAACTTAACTGTCGGCATAAATAGTATTTATATTGGTCAAATATGATATTTTGGTTACAGTGTAGTAATGTTTTGGTCCTACAGGAGATTCTATAAGGGCATTTACCTGTTTCCCAGCAGGCTAAGTCGCTCCAAAATACAACCTTGATCAAAAGCTGTGTCTTATAACCATGACTACCGCGTGGGCAGGCTCATGCATGGTGGTGCCTGCCCACAAAGAAGTCAAGGTTCTAAGACCTTAGAAACTTGTCGATCACTTTTTTCCCCAAACGAAGGTCAGCCTTAACATGCGCTGTGTGTGCTCTTGTGTCATGACCTTCAGAAAAAGAAATGGATGTTGTGTGTATTTGTTTGAATGCGGCAGATGTGATGCCAAATACCTGGACATCAGCTAAGGGACTCGTACCTGGTGCTTAGAAAGAATAGAAATTCAGACAGATGTATTCCAATGAGTTAGACCCATTTAATTACAATAACAAACATCACAATTCTTTAACGTGTGTGCGAAGTGCAAGATTTGTGGGCTTCAGTTTCCTAGAACACAAATTGCCCGCTGAAACTTAAGGAACTGTTTATTGAAATTGTAATACAACCTACTACTTGAATCCTCTTTTTTTTTTTTTACTTTAACATGTGACAGTGAATCAAAACAAAAGATGACAGGCTGCTATACATTAAATGCACTAATTTAAACATAAAATGATCAAAGCTTCTTTCATTCAACTTTGTCAGCACTCTTACAAAGTATTCTTGATTCTCTTCTATATTTGACTTTTCACCCTCAAGATTAAGGCCAGCTAAAGAGGGCATTACACAAACTTTAAAACACACCAGTACCCTCAGAACACAGGTCATGGGAGAAATTAAACGCATTCCTTAAAAATGTGCAAATAACAGCATTTAAGACACGGCAAAACATTAACTCAGAAGACTTAAGAACAGCGCTTTAAAATTTAGTAAAACACATTCAAGTAGTGCCAGAAATGCAGGAATAAGGATTTGTGAAACTCACTCACGAATGGTCTATCAAGTCTGCTCTAGAAAATACCAAACTTAAGATTCATTACTTTAGAGCTGGCTTTTTGTCCATCAAGCTCAAGGCATAGTTTTTGAAATACCTCAAAGGTAAATTTCAGCTGCTTGGGATAGGTAAGGTTCAGAGCGTAGATTACTCCCATCATCAAAGCACAGGATCTGGCAACATCAATCCTCTCCAGGATCTTGGATCCCTCAACGATGATGGTTGCAGGCCCATCACCAATGATAGCAATCTTCATGATTTGCATTGCAAGGTCTGCGTTGAGCTCCTCCTCATCCTTGTAGGAGAAATTAAATGTTAGGATGTATAAAATACATAGCTCAAGCACTTCAGGATGACGTGCATAAGGGAATGAACCACTACAGGTAGGAAAATAAGCTAAAACAGGTTGTCTTTTGTGTTTTTCAGTGATTTTACTTTGTCATTCTGTAAGTTTTAAAAGCTAAATTAAACCATAATCCAACGTTTAAAATAAAAAATGTCTTGTTTTTCACAGTTTTGTTTTTCCACTTTGAAAAGAAAATCTAATAAATCATTTTTAAGGGTTATTCCACTTCTAAGTGAAATTTTATCTATTGCCATATTGTCACAGTTAGAAAGTGAGAAACATGCCTTTTGTAAACAGCACACTAATTCTCCTGATCCGGAAGCAATCCATTTGCTTTAGCAGAGCATAAACAATGTAAGTGAATAGCAGGTGCTAGCATGTTGTGTGCAAAAGTGATTAAAATGACTCAGTAATGAAAACAAATATTTCTTGGGAGCTCAGTAATCATGTTCACAGCAAATGAAAAGTGCAAAAGTAACACAGAAGATTTGCAGAAGCTGATTTAGACTTGAGACTACATTGCAGTTACGACAAACACTGCTGTAAACATCCACTGCATGGTGCATGGATATAACGCAACAATTGAAAAAGCCTCCAGCTTCCATAAACAAACACACACAGCCACTACTATACAAGCATAGTAAGCTGCAGTAACAATGGATGGGTCTTTGATTTGTTGAAGAAATATTGCACAAATAGCATGTTGGTTTATAGACACTGGTCGGCAGTGGCTTCAACTGCTGTGTTATAACCATGTGGAGGCTTACAGCAGTGCTCTGTCGTAATGTAGTCCCAAGTCTAAATCGGCTCCTGAAAATCCTTCATGTCAATTCATACTTTTCATTTGCAGTCAGCATGATTGTTGAGCTCCCCAGGAATACTTGGTATCATTATTGAGTGATTTTAATCACTTTTGCACACAAAATGCTAGTACCTGCCATTCACTTCCATTGTTTATGCTCTGCTAAAGCTGCTGCCAGATCAGGAAAATGACTGCGCTGGCTACAAAATTTTTTATCCTGTGTGTTTATGTTGCACCTTATCACGGAAACAGGTTTCTATTCAGCAAATTATGTTCAATGACAATGGCAATAAACATCTTTGGATTGTAATTCTGAAATGCTTTTTTCTCACTTATACATGGCAATAGACATATCTTCACTTAGGGTTGGAATGTCCCTTAACTCATTCAGTGCCAGCCACTCTCAGATTTCATACCCCCCTCAGTGCCAGAGATATTTAGCATTTTCGCTGATTTTGAAGGCTCACAGAATATTTTGTTCTATGACTATGTGAATTCTGAAACCACCATGACAAAAATGAGTCTCTCTTCCCCACCCCACCTCCGAAGTGGCCCGAGTGAGCCCCAGGCTCCAGGCCCCGATAAGCAGCCGCCAACGAGTGAGCCGGTGTGTACCCGGACGCCCACCCCCAGATACAAAGAACCACCAACGCACCGACACCTGAGGGAGTCCGCCACCGGCAGGGGAAGTGGTGGTGGGTGGAGATAGGCCTCCAAACCTTGGAGGGCCCGAGATGTCCCCAGAGAGGTGGCGTCTGATACCCAACCTGACATATAGACACAAACATACAGGCACACACAGACACAAACATCCATTCCCACCCTCATGCTCTCATGTGCACTTCACACTCAATCGACGTGGAGACAGACATAAAGAGACGCTGTACACACGATCACACTCCCCAAGCGTACTCTACAAACCGGGTCTAGGTACCCTTGCCCCTGGAGGGGGGAATTGCACCCAGACCCAGGTGGTGTTACCCTTTTCCCTGTGGTGGGGAGAGGCAGACCGCCCCGACTCCGCAGCAGCAGGGAGGCCCCACACCCCAGACCGCAGTCGGACGGCCAACTCCTCCTAGCCCCCCGCTCCAGCAGGCCGCAGAGAATGGGGGTGAGAGAAGACTCCAAACCTCCCTCCACCCGCTCATTGTAGTGTTGATGCATGTGTGTTCTAAGGTGCAATTAAAACCCAGGAGGGCATGGAGCTACCTGCCAGAGAGCAGCAGGTAAGCGCATAGTCCCTCCTGTTAGCCCTCAATGTCTACGTGTATTTAACATTGAGAGGTGGGCAACGACGCCAGGGGTGAGGTGTACACCCTGATGATAACTTGGACTCCGTGTATCGTGCCCACCCCCAAGATCCTATATGTATGTGTAATGAGGGTGTGAGTAATGTGAATGTCTAAGTTGTGGGATAAAATTGAGGCAGAGGTAGCCAGAAGGGGACAGGGGGTAGCCTCCTCTGCACCCTGGTGACATACCCCTACTCCAAGGCCCTGCATGTGTGGGTGGTTGTGGTGGAGCGGGAAGAGGGAGGCAGCCGGAGATGGGGAGGGAAGGAAGGGAGGGGCAGGTGACCCCTCCCTGGGGCCAGCTCCCCCGCTGACCCCAGTAGGCACCCCCATACTCCGCGACCCGCCAGGGAAAGGGGGCCCAGGCCCATCCAGACCGGGGCCCAGCGCAGCAGCGCCCCCCGGCCCCACAGAGCCCGGGACAGTCCACCCAACCCCATCACAGAGAAAACTGCACCCACCCCACCATCCACTCATCTTCCAGACTACATGAGACAATAGACGCCCAGGCTGAGATCTTCCTCCACCTCTCCTGTATCTCCCCCTCCTGCAGAGAGTTCCTGAGTGGAGGAAAGCTCCTGCAAGGTGTGGCAATCTCCCCACCGGTTGAAGAGCCCCACAGGCGGCTCGACACACCGGCGGCACCCTGCGCCAGGGATGGGCCCCCATGCACCCACCCGCCCACAACCCCGGCAACACACAAACCAGGACCCAAGGCCCGGCCAGGGCCCCGGCCCAGAGACTGATCGCCCCCAGAACCTCACGCCTTCAGAAGTTTCTAACAGGAGATACTGGTCAGATAAATCCGGTTCATGTTCACTGGAATTGCTAGAAAAACCATGACGTCAGGCTGCAGACACCTCAAGCTCGAAATGACGAGCTGGATCAAAAATCGTGCCACAATACTCGTTCTCAGTAGAGCCGACTGTCACGCTGGTGGGATTTTATCCATGTAATCAACTCCACCACCTTCTCAATTCAATAAAAAGCTCAAGAGGCGTCTATGGCACTGAGCGTTCGGATTCATTTTGACGTCTAAAGACGTCTATGGCACTGAATGACTTAAATACTCAACCCTGAACAGAAAATCCAATGAACAAAACACAAAGACCCTACAGAGACATGCATTCAAAACTAAACAAAAAATTAAAAACCAACTCAAGTACTTACGCTGTATTGTTTGAAAAGATCATCCTCCTTCTCTCCAAGATAGACTATGAGGCAGCGAATAGCAATTTCTCTGCGCTTTTCAACTGTGTTGTCCTGATTGATAGAAAAAAATAGATGTGTTAAAAAAAAATCAGATGTAAGTAGCTTACTTCATATACTGAAAATTATATCCATAATGATATAGCATTTTTTTTAATTAAATAATAAAAAAGTTCATTTGGAATAAGGTGGAAAAGGTGATCTGGCTATTCTCCTGAGTTTCTTATTGTTTGGGACCTGCTTACTCCGCACACAGTGGGGGCATGGCTGTCTCACTCTGCGGAGACCTGAGAAACGCTGCGCTTGTAACCTGGACATTCCTTCTTCATAAGTAAAAACACTAAAATAAAGATACATTTTGTTGTACTTGTGCTCTGAACTTGTATAATAACAATAAATATCCATTCATTCAATTACAATGTAACTGGCACAGATACAGTCTTCCTCCATGTTATGTATTGTTAACGTTCTTGCGCGTGTGAAACACTTTATGTAAATCATAGAGCTTTATTTTAAAATAATAAAAAGTGTATATTGTACAGACGACATATTTTCTTCTTTTGCCCTGCCCTAGATGCAAGTGTAACCAAAATATGAACAATTTTGGAAAAAAATAGTGTTAGTATACAATGGACCTTCTTCAAAGCAGCCATATCAACATTTGAGATGGTAAATGGCCTGCATTTGTATAGCGCTTTTCTAGTCCATAGGACCCCAAAGCGCTTCACACTACATTCAGTCATTCACCCATTCACACACAGGCGATAGCAAGCTACATTGTAGCCACAGCTGCCCTGGGGCGCACTGACAGAGGCGAGGCTGCCGGACACAGGCGCCACTGGGCCCTCTGACCACCACCAGTAGGCAAACATGGGGTTAGTATCTTGCCCAAGGATATTTGGCATGCAGCCAGGATGCAGCCTGGGATCGAACCACCGACCTTCTGATTAGTGGCTGACCTGCTCTGCCACCTGAGCTACAGCCACCCACATGAAAAAAGTAAGGCAGATGCAAATAAAGGTCTATTCATAAAGTTATTCATTATACCTGCAGAAGCATGTCCTTAATCTGCCTCATCCTCAGACCTGCAGCTCCTCCTTTTGACAGGGTCAAGGCCATCAGTTTTGGGGTGCATTGGTCAAGCCTGGCCAGAAAGGTTGATTCAAGGCTGACTGTTGTTATCCTCTTAAATTCTTCACATATCTGCAGGGCACACCAGAATAAAATACAACAAGAGACATAAGCATAAATAATTCCAAATCCAAATGTGCATTTGTAAACATTTAAATGTATTAGGTGTAAATATATGCATTTCTAAATTTTTTATTTATCTGACTTCTAGTTGTAATTTCATCAATCCCCAACACAAAAACACTGGTTTAATAAACATTTTATCTCACCTGTACTTCGCTAAAAAGAGCAGGCCAGCGCTTCATGAAGTCACTGATGGCAGGGGCCTCTTTCACTATTTCCTCCCGACGAAGGCTGAACGTCTTGTCCATTTTCTGAGCTACCATTCTGGAGTTGTCCCTTTTCATCACTTCACTCAGTAGCTCGATTCTCTCTTTTTCCAAACTTTCACTAGTTTCACCTTGAGCATGAGGGGGTAGGTAGTTCACCTCAGCCTTCTTTGGTTTTTTGACATTCTTTGCCGGGTATTGGTCACATGTCATTTTCCTCTTAAGTGAGTTTACTTCAACTTCAGGGCAGCCGAGACCTCTAAGCTTGCTTCTGAAATTGTTCATCTTGTACTTTAGACGCTGCGCCCACCCATAGCATCCATTGAAGGACCCTGGTTCTTTCAGGCAGGGATGCTTTAGAGTCAGGGCCTCTGCAACCTCACTGATCTGCAGACTGGATGGATAAGCAGTATACTTATAAATAGCTTCTGCTAGTTTTCTAAGTATGTCAGGAAGCAGTGGAATTAAATCTTTTGTAGGGAGAAGAGTCCCATCTTTTTGGAAGCGCTCGTTGGCTGACCGAATTTGGATCTCTGTGAGGTCAGAAAACCTGGGAATCTGAAATTGAACAGGCCAGCGCTGGTAACGGTGCCCTGGACTATCTTCAGATGTGGAAAGAATCAGAGTGTCATTAGTTGACACAGATGAGGTGTCAACAGAGTCCTCCTCAGATGGATTATCAGTCACGTTGGTCACATCACTTAAGGTCAAGGTTATTGTAGGCTCCTGGTCCTGGAGAAACACAATCTTGATTGTGTCCTTGTCCTTAAGGTCAGTTGTCGAAACAAGGGTAAAAAACTCATCACCAAAATCAGCATCTTTATAGTGAAGACAGAAGTCTCTTGTAATGGAAAAGGTATCACGGATGGCTGAATAAAGGTCATCCACCGTTTCTGGGATTCCAGATGGTAGTACAACTTTACGGACATCATGATCTGCAAGGATCACTCGAAGTTGAGACGGTTGTGACATTAGGTAACCTGTAGACCAAATTTTTGACATGTTTCTGTAATTCTTAGTAACAGCGAAATAGTGCATAATATAATAAAATTTGATCTCCATGTATGGAAACTAGGAGCCAATTAACTATATGCCATCTCTGAAAATAGTAGAAAGACTGAGATTTGGGTTTGTCTTTTTTCAGCTGAAAATCTCCACACAAAGTATGGAAATCATTTATGGAACATAAATGCTGCACTTAAGAGTCATAATGGTTGTTCCGCCACAAATGTAAGAAATCAAGGGGACCGTGTCTGATAACTCAGCTGCCTCTATGACTTTCACTGTACCAGTTTTCTCAAGCACATAGCTCCTCAGATGTTCAATTGACCAAGCAGTTACACCTTTCACTATGAATCCCACATTGCCTTTCAAAACCACAATCTGGATCAACTCCCCAAAATCTGGTAGACCACCAGTGGAACCATAAGCCAGGATCATTCCACTAGTGTACTTGGTGCCTCTGTAACACACACTTTTGGCTATCTGGACACATGTCTCACCAGGAAACTTAGCCTGCAGTGCTTCTTGGATATCCTCTCGCAGCACACTAACATCCATTGTAGACAGTGTTGTAGCCTGTAGTAATGGTCTGACAGCTCTGGAATCATGTTGGTTATAAGCAAGCAACAACTGATGCTTCATGGCCAGTGACAGCAGAATATTTCTAAAACTACGAGTATGTCTGACAACACGCTTGAAAAAGCTGTGCTTTGCCTCAAACCGCATTGTCCACAGTGACACCAGAGGACCATAAGCCCTGATAAGTTCTGGATAATGTTCTAGGAAATGGTGTTTTGGAATGAGGCGTTGCTCTGGAAAAACCATGAGAAACCTGTGTTTATGCTCAGATATCTTACTGTCCAGGAAGCAAATGGTCTCCTCTGTGTGCACTTGATTCACAACAAGCTCAACAATGTCTCGAAGCACAAGAAGCAATTCCCATGCTGGGTCAGCCTCAGGGATTTTTGATCCAACCATGAGTGGCAAGAGACGAAGCAAAGCCCAGTTCTCGTGGGCATTGCCCCCCACACTTTTCCGTTGGGCAAAGTTCACAGGAACAAGCTGTGGTGCATTGGTTTTGTCCGACCATTTATAGGGGAACTCTTTGATGCATTTGTTCAGCTCTTCAAGAGTGAAGTATTTGTTGTGAATGAATAGTCTTAGGCACAGTGCTATTTCTAGGGGCACTACACCTTCAAAGAGATCATGCAACACATCAGGTGGATATCCAGACAAAACATGAAAATATTTAAGTTTTGCCGTCAGTGCACACTGTCTCTTCACTCCATAAACATGCATCAAACTGTTATTTTCCTGTAAAGCCTGGACATGCAGTGTGTGTTGTTCCGCTGTTCTGGGTGGGAATGCCTTATTTCTCACTTCACCATCTTGAAATTGTGACTTTTCACCAAGACAAAACCTACAGACATATGAACTGGAAAAGCTCTCAACAAATCCCCCATAGAATGGGCACCAAGGTTGTCTGCAACTACACTAAACACTGTGCCTTTGACTCTTCTACCCAGTGATGGAACATACAGTCCTTCCTCCTCTAAGACCACAAGATCTTTGAGCAGTGGCTCTAACACAGCGCTGTAACCAAATCTCTTTACATCCTCAGCCTTGCAAAGAATTGCTAAGAAGATTGAGTTTAGCTCAGATCTGAGCAATGAAGGGACATCAGCTAACACCCAATATACAGATGTGATTTTGTGTTTTTTCCTGGATGTACCGAGAGGATTGCAAATCTCAAAGTCATCCACATAGAGATTTAGCGCAATTGTAAGGTCATTTTTTGAGAACAACTCGTTGGTTTTGTAAAAGGTGCCGTCATGAAATGAGTTGTACACAGTTCTCTGCACCTCTGCTTCACTCAAGATCAGGTCTAGTATATCTTTCCTGCTAAGAACCTGAAGTAAAGACTTTAGAATGGGAACATACTGGAAGCTACTCTCTCCAGTAAGAATATACTCAATCGGCTCCACGACAGAAAAGTGTTCATTAAAATACTTTCTTCTTTTGAAGGCAGAAGAGAGAGGACCACCATCACAAAGGGCAGCGCTAACAGGGTTAGCAACACATATGTTGTTCACCATTTCAGACACAATGGCTTCATCAACTTCACAGTTGTGTCTCTTCAAGCAGGACTGTAAAATGTCTTTCATGATGGGAGCGGAAGCTGAATGACAAATAAAATGCAATGACTCTACAAGCTCATCAATGCATTGGTTGGGAACATGAAATGAACTCTCTAATTTCAACATCAAATGAGCCAAGCTTCTTTCAATCAACTTTGGCAGTACATTCACATCATCATCTCTAAACTCCTCAATGTCAGATTGTTCACCCTCCTGATTAACTACATCGCTGCACTGATCTGTTTGTAAAGGCTTTTCAAACCTCTTTAAAACGTCTTCTTTAAACTCATCTAAAGAGTGGGGAGTGTGCTTGCGATGTTTATGTGACGCAAATGTTCCATAAATGTTAGTTTTGAAATTACAATTTTTGAAAACACAGGACACAGTTTCTTGCTTTTTCAAATGTTGACGAAGGTGTTCAAAATACTCTTTTTCAGTGGAAAATGTGCCCACATTACAGAACTGGCAACAGAAACTGAGTATTTCAGAGGTTCTCACTGTTGAGTGAGTTGAGTGTTTCCTTGATATGTGTGATTTTAGGCTACCCCATGACTTAAATGAACAAAAACAATCTAGGTAAGGACATGGCAGAGGCTGTACACTGGGGATATGGCGTAACCTATAATGTTTCATCAGCTCTTCCTTAGTGGAGGTTGCAAATTTACAGATTTTGCAAGGCCAATCCATACTTCATGATTCTGAATTACTCAATTCAAGCTTACTTGTTAAAGCTTACTTCAGAAGGTCCCTTGGTATTCGATACCAGGAGAAGATGATGGTTTGAGCCTTTGTCCTGGCAAGAAACACAGCAAAGTAACTGAATATTTTGGTGAGATTCCCACTTTCTTTAGAAGGCTGACCACGTCTTAACTGGAACCCCTAGATCTGCAACACCAGGACAGTGTATAACACCAGAAAGTCGTGCCTGCACAAAAATACAAAAGATGGTATTTTCAACTTCACCTGTGAGTCTTCAATACAGTGAATCAGTTTCACCTGTCAAAGCTGTGTAAGCTAGAACCAAACATTCAAAACTACATAAACCTGAATACACTGGGTGCTGGAAAGCCTAACACATATATATATATACATATATATATATACATATATACATATATATATATATATATATATATATATATATATATATATATACATATACATATATATATATATATATATATATATATATATATATATATATATATATATACACACACACACATATACATATATATATATATACATATATATATACATATATATATATATATATATATATATATATATATATATATATATATATATGTATATATGTATATACGTATATATATATATATATATATATATATATATATATATATATATATATACACACACACACACACACATATACACATATATATATATATATATATATATACACACACACATATACATATATATATATATATATATATATATATATATGTATATGTGTGTGTATATATATATATATATACATATATATATATATATATACACACACACATATACATATATATATATATATATATATATATATATATATATATATATGTATATGTGTGTGTGTATATATATATATATATATATATATATGTATATGTGTGTGTGTATATATATATATATATATATATATATATATATATATATATATATATTTTTTTTTTTTTTTTTTTTTTTTTTATCAACAAAAGCAAACATAAGGTGTGGCATGACAGGACAGAATCATTTCTGACAGTAAATACGAAAAAAACCCCAAACTTTTTATACACAAGCTACAATGTCAATAATCCCACTGTTTTCTGTTTTCATTTCATTCTCCAAAACCAAATTAGAATCAGTGCTGAGTCAGCAGCTATGGTCATTTTTGTGCACCCTAGTGTTGCAAAAACTGGCATACTACTGAAACCATATGTGGGATTATTGACCTTTCTTGCCTTATCTGTTTGGAAAAATATTTAAACATTTTCCTTATTTACCATGGGTGAATACATTCCTCAGTAGAAAAAAAATGCACTGGCGGCGAATGGGGACCCAACCAAGATGGTGGCCCGCTATTGATTTTTTGCTTACTTTCAAACTTTATTGAGGCATATCAATGTTACAGCCAGTGCCAATGCACGTCGCCTCTACGTCTCTACAAAACACGGAAAGTCCCCAAAAATTAGGGACAGCTAACTACCCTACCATATGCGGCACAGTGCACTTTAGTCTGGTCTTTTACCTGTGAAAATAGGCCGAGCAGCCGGTGAAGAACCGCTCTTAGCGGTCAACAGACACACCGGACTAATAGCGACGGCACTTCCTGCGCAGAAGCCAATGGGGTTCAACTTCACCCCGTAACGTTACGAAAATTTAGAAGCGTTTCTTAACAATTACTAACATAAAATGCTTCCCTTCAAAAAATAAATTTCACATTTCAAAAATAAAATCACAGTGAACACAACTTAGCTTGGCTAGCTACGTTAGCATAGTAGTTTGCGCCGGGGCGAACAACGTCCGCTATCTTTTAAAAATTATAAGACAATTACAGTGGTCTGCATTAGAGTATACTCTAAAATTTAACACTGACGTTATAACATCAGTGTTAAAATTTAACACTGACGTTATAACATCAGTGTTAAATTTTCCAAAAAGCGCCCAACAATTTATGCTATCGTGGAATTAGCTGCTGTGTGTATATTAAAACACACAAACGCGGGGGCAAGCTAAGATGTATGTTATGTATGTTACGTCGTTGTTTTAAAGTAAACTAACAAAATCCAGAGCGACTGCAAATATGTGTAATTTCGCATAAAATTACTCACCGTTCGCGACGAACACAGCTCTTGATAAAACTTGAACACGTGCTGTTGAATATGTCCGCTTGAGTAGAAGAAGGGAACTGTGAGCTGTTTACACGTCATCAAGTTGTATTTTACATTGACAGAACTTAAAATTATATTGTTTTTTGATTAAAAGAAGATTTTAAATTCAGACAAATCACGATTATATATTGAGTAAAGAGGCATAATTTATGTGTCACCCGAACTCAATAAAATAAAAATTTTAATTAGGAAGTCTAACAGTATTTATGAACTTGATTTTTCATTTCACAACAACATATATATGTAAGTAATGACTAAAGGTCACATTAATTACTTTTTAGAGTGCAGATATATATATACATATTAACCTTTCATACGTTTTGTGCTTACTACTGACTTCGTGGCTTTAAATATAATAATCCTCTATCGCAACTTCTGCATGTCCATTTCATGTTTTGGAGAGGCAAGGTGCGTGACAGCAGTTACTCCTCACAGTGATGCTGAATGCATGCTACTAGGCTACTGTGACAGGTTTTACTGTTACTGTTAACTCCCTGCCTCTTTTTCTTGTTGGGTCTCTGTTTGGTCTTTATTCTGATTAATTCTGATAAGTTTTAGCAGGGTTATTGTCACAGTTTTACCTTTATATCATTCCTAAATTAAGTCTTTCCGGTTGGCATGTGTTGTGTTCCTGTTTGTTAACTTGTTAACTGTCTTGTCTTTTAGGACCCCTCCACTCTCAACTGCTGTTTTCTAATCACAGTTTAGTAACATAACCTTCCTCTCTTCTCTATTTACTTGCATCCACTTGCACCACCTGTACTGATGATTCTCCCATATCACCTTAGTCCATAAGTCTTTGAGCCTTCTTTTGTAGTATTCCAGCATTTGTTTATCTGTTTGTATTTTCAGCTTTTTGTTGAACTTGGAATTTTGGACTCCGCATTTATCTGCTTTTTTGTAAATAGTAGGAGGAGACATCCCATATTAAACAATGAATTCTAGTTATTCTCCTTTACTAGCTTATTCTAGTAAAGGATCAATGTATTTAGTATTAATGGATCTGGATCTGCCACTGGTTATACTTGATGTCTAACATTTTTTTGTAGGCAAAAACTGGAGGAAGTGATTTGTCTTTTTTCAGTGGATTAATATCAGACTTTCTGAATTATATGTCGAAGAAGAAAAGATAATTTACACATGTATCATCCTGCCTGTGTGACTGGCATGTGATCTTTTGATTAAAAATCATAGAAAGACACCATAGAAATAAACATTCAGCACCATGGATGTTGCCACATTGAACAATGAACAACTGATAAAACGTCAAGTCTTATCAGTTTAATGAAAATTGAAATAAATCAAACCAACAAAAAAATCAAGGCTAGATACGAATAATAAACTTTTAAATAGACAGGGCATGATAATTAATTCTGCAGTGGCAGAGAAAGGTATATGAAAGTCAATGCCTGCCAGATAAACTTCACCACATGGGCATTTTTGTCTTGAAATCTGAAATAAGACTTTGACAGTATCTAATCATGACCTGGGCACTGCTGCAGAGAAAGAAATAATGATCGAGATGAGACATGAGGATGGTGCACTGCTGCATGCTTCAGCTAATAGCAGAAGAACAGATGAAAGAAAGAGACATGGATAAGAATTTCAGTGATTCCTTTTTGACTGGGGGAATTGCCGGAGAACACCATTTGATGTAATTGCCTCCATATGTGGAGGGGCTCTTGAGATAACTGTGGCGTAGGGTTTCTTTCCCCTCCATCAGATACCACTGTCAAAAAAATCATTTCTGTTGCGCACAGAGACCCGGAACCTAATGCTTCTCCCTGTTCTAAGTATGTCATGCTGCTGTGGATACTAATGCTACCACATGGACCTGGTGCAGGAAAAACACTTCCATATGCTGTGTGTGTGCATGCTTTCCTTTCAAGATTTATGAATGAATAAGCCTCAGTTTCTCCAGAGTCTATACAGCCAGTGACATGCTCATGTTTGGAATTTCCCAATGAAATCAATTTGCTCTCTTTTTGAAATCTTTTTGCTTGCGGTTTATCTAAAGCACTTTATGTTACTGGTTGATAAAGGATAGCGTGACTGATTTGCTTCCTCTTTTTCAGTTACTCTAAATTTGGTCATACTGTGGTCTGATTTTTATTGTTTACTCCACTGTATATAAAAACTTGCATTTGAAATGGATAAAGAAAGTCCTACTTTAAAGGTCCTCTGTCACTTCTTTATGTTGTTTTTTGACAGTCTTTCCATTCCATGCCTGCTATCAGTTATCAGTTTTCTACATATCACCAGTGGATGGTGTCTTCTGCCTAAAAGTACTCAGAAAAAATTTGAATCACAGTCAGCTGACCAGCTTGTCTTGACATCAGAACAGTAAAATGGTTCTAAAATGAAAGCTGTGCTGACACTGGAGATGCAACCTCTCGATTTGCTGGACTTTCTTCTTCACTTTTGCCTGGGACTGCAAACCAATGTGTTTTATATTATTGGTTTATCATTTTAAGAAATAGAACAAAATAGAACAAAACATTATCAATTCTGGTAATGGTAATAAACTTCTACAAAGCCCCAGACTCCCCAAGCCTGGACTACATTACTTAGCCTACTGAGCTAAATGTCATGATGCTGAACTTTGGACCTGCAGTTCTATTAGTTTTTCAAATTTAGTTGTATTTGTTGTCTGGATTTTTAGTTTCTAAAGCCTCTTTAGAAACTTGGCTTGGCTTGACATGACTACTCTGGGTTTTTTTGTAAGTCTGATTTTATGTTTTTTCATTAATATTTTTTTCCTCTTCCATTTCTATTCTGGGCATATTCTTTGTTAGCAGTTAGAGTTCCTTTAATGTTCCGTCCGTGTGATCCATCAGTGTTATTTACTTGTGTCTGCTTTCCCGCGTTTCCATAATTGTTTATTATTTCCTGTTTTATTTTGACAAACATTTGTCTTCTGTATTTTGCTTTTAGTTTTACTTCCCCCCCTTAATTAATTTCACCCGTGCTTCATTTCATTTCACTCCCCCCAGCTGTGTCTCCACACAACCAAATCAATTACATGTTTTTGATTTTAATAATTTAAACTCACATTTGTTTTCTACACTGGTAAAAAAAGCTTAGTTTTGCTTGCTTACTACTACATATACCACCCGAGGTTTTACATGCACTTTGTTACCTGCTAGATGTATCCTACATAATCTTTTATTAATCTGTTTATCACTGATCCCAGTAACAATTCACTGCACCAGCTATAAGGTAGAAGACTGATGAATGCCATTCAAGCAACTGACAGCATCAAAATTATATCACAGACTGTTGTTCTTGGATCTACTGCCTTACAGCTAAAGATGGCATTTTCTGTCAATGTCATCTGAAATTGTAACTAAATTTCATCTGCCACTTTGGTTAATGTTTTGTTAGATTTAAACGCGCAAAGAGTTGGGTTTGATAGCGATGGGCAAATGAATCAGCTGGGAAATAGTAATGATCTTTGTATGCATGTCAGTCTTTATGGCATTTATCATTATTTCAGCCAATGATTGATGTTGTGTTTTGTTTTTGAAATAAACAGATGAGTTCATAGAATTTATCAGTGTATTCACATATACAAAACCATACCACATTTATTGATCAATCCTGCAGGATTCACATCAGCTTTACTTTGTACCTTAAATTTTTAATAGCTGCATTTATGGAGCTTTTTATATATATGAATACAAATTGCTTTGTCCCAGGATATGCTGACCAGCAGAAGCTGGTGATAAAACTGCAAAACCTACGATAGTGGATGACCTGAACTTGTGGGCCACACCTGCCTAGTTTAGCCAACAACAGCTGAATCAATAAAACAATAAAAATTCTAAAAACTTTTTTTTTAACTTTTGTGTGAAAATAAAATTGGTCCCACTTTATTGAATAATTAACATACCTTAATATTACTTTTTTTAACCACTATAACCTTCGTAACCTTTGCTATTGTGGCTACTAATGCTTTGCAGAGTCACCCTGAACCTCTTGAGGGCAGTGCACATAGTGAACTCTGCAGAAGGTTGGCCTCAGCTTCCACAAGGAGACTCTCCAGTTTTCTGCAATTGACATTTCCCATCATGCCCACACAGCCTGAATCAGTATTCACATTGAGTGGAGGAGGCCACTGGGGAGAGGATGAAAGTGAGAGTGAAAAAGAAGACAACACAGTACAGAAATACAGTGAGACATTGAGCCTAGTTGGGTCATTTAACTCCGTATCTGTACTTTCCTCATTCTGTCACCGCTGTTATCTTCTGGCTGTTTCCAGGTGCCTTTGAAAACAAAACATTAAATGTGAAAGAGAGCTTGTTGTATTAAACACAGAAAAGGGAGTCAAGGCTTGACACATAATGTCCGCTATTCTTTCTCTCTTTTAAGACCCAAAACAAATACAAATGGACACTGAAGAAACTGAGATGTGGTTTGAATTCTTGAACAGTATCCTGGCCCTGACAGGCCCTCAGCCCAAGGTCTCAGGAAGTGATTAACACTCCTCAGATAGCACAGGATGTTGTGTACACACACATGTGTTAGTGAGTGTGGATGTGCATGTGCATCTGGAAGAGAACTGGTGGGAGTCAGGTGTGGGCAGCCAATTTCTAACCCCT